TGACCACAGGTGTGTGAGTTTATTTATAGATTATCAGTTCTATTTCATTGGTCTATATATCTATCTGTATGCCAGGACCACACTGTTTTGATTACTGTTGCTTTGTACTACGTCTTGAAATTGGGAAATGTGAGTCTTTCCAACTTGGTGTATTACACTGATTTTCATTTCTTGAGCCACCCTTACATACCTCAGATAAATCCCATTTGTTCCTCGTATATAATCCTTTTTAAAAAAATTACTTTTAAACTGTGGTGGGATATACATAATGCGCATTGAGTGTGTTCACATTGTTGTGCAGCCATCACCACTATCCATCTCCACAACTTTCTTCATTTTGTAAAACTGAAAAACTACCCATTAAGCAATAACTCCCTATCTCCCCTTCCCCCAACCCCCTGGCACTCACACTTCTACTTTCTGCTTTACAAATTTGACTACTCTAGGTATATTATGTGAATGGGATCATACAGTATTTGTTCTTTTGTCACTGACTTATTTTACTTAAAACATAAATCATCTCAAAGGTCATCTGTATTATAGCATGTGTCAGAATTTCTTTCCTTTTTAAGACTAAATGATATTTCGTTATATTAATATAGCATGTTTTGTTTATCTGTTCAGCTGTTGGTAGACACTTGAGTTGCTTCTACCTCTTGACTATTGTGAATAATACTCCTCTGAACATGGATGTACAAATATCTTTTTGAGTTTTTGCTTTCAGTTCTTTTGGGTATATACCTAGAAGTGGAATTGTTGGCCAGTGGTTTACGTTTTTTAATATGTGGTTGGATTAGCTTTGCTAGTATTTTTTTGAAGACTTTTGCATATATATATATTCATAAGGGATATTGATCTATAATTTTCTTGTGATATTATTGTCTGGCTTTGGTATCTGGGTAATACTGGCATCATAGAATGAGGTAAGAAGTATTTCCTCCTCTTTCATTTTTTTGAGAAGGATTGGTGCTATTTTTTCTTTAAATGATTGGTAGAATTCACCAGTCAAATCATGTGGTTCTGGGCTTTTCTTTGCTGGGAGTTTTATGATTACTGATTTCAGCTTCTTGTGTTATGATTTTATTAAATTAACATTTATTAGGTGGAGCACAGAGTGCTGGTTGGTGAGCCATGGTTCGACAACAGACCACAAGAGAAATTGAAATAGAAAAGGTTTTTACTTACAGGTCCTGGAGGAATTACAAGGGCACGCATTAAGGGGCCCCACAGGGAGATCAGGGCAGAGTGTAGAGAGAGGTAGGACCTGGAGTACAGTGCCTTTATTAGGTCTCTGGGTGGAGTGCTTTGGAGATCCTGGGCTAGAGCTGGATTTGTCAGTTCAAACCAAAAGAGTAGGGTTTTGGTAAGCTCACCAGGATTTTTATCTCAGGGGCGCTTAAGGCATACAGGCACTGGGAACCAGGAGAGACCATTGATCACAAGTCCTTTCATTAATTCTTGTAAGCAAATTTATATTGCTTGTATCTCTGTGGACTGCTATTTAGGACATGTGCTTCCCTAAGAGGTCTAGTCAGTTAAAGGTCCTTGCAGGCCCCTTGGCCAAACAAAATGGATGCTGAGGCAGCAATATCAGGGAGTAGTTTAGCTAATCAATGACTTGACTTATCTCAACAACTTCTTGTAGGGCTGTTCAGATTTTCTGTTTCTTCTTGAGTCATTTTAGAGAGTTGTTGTGTTTCCAGGAATTTCCATTTTATCTAGATTATCTGATTTATTGACATACAATTGTTAATAACACTACAAGTGTTCTGTAACACTTTTGTTTCTATAAGGTTGGTAATGTTCCCATTTTCATTCTTGATTTTAGTGATTTGAGTCTTCTCTCTCTTTTTTTCTTAGTCTAAGCTTGAGGTTTGTCAATTTTGTTGATCTTTCAAAGAACTAACTTTTGGTTTGTTGATTTTCTCTATTGTTTTTGTATTCTCTTTTCTGGATCTCAGCTCTAATATTTATTAATTCTTCCCTTATTTTGGGCTTAGTTTGTTCTTTTTCTAGTTCCTTAAGGTGGAAGTTTGGGTTATTAATTTGAACTCTTCAGTACCTTTTTTTTTTAATGTAGATGTTTACAGCTGTAAATTTCCCTTAGTACTTTTTCATTATATCACATATGTTTTGATATGTTGTACTTCCATTTTTTAAAAAAAGATTTTATTTATTCATTTGTCAGAGAGAGTGAGAGAGAAAGAGCACAGGCAGGGGGGGGCGGCAGGCAGAGGGAGAAGCAGGTTCCCCGCTGAGCAAGGAGCCCGATGTGGGACTCGATCCCAGGATCCTGGGATCATGACCTGAGCTGAAGGCAGACGCTTAACCGACTGAATCACCCAGGCATCCTTGTACTTTCATTTTTATTCACCTCAGAGTATTTAATAATTTTCCTTGTGATTTGTTCTTCGACCCACTGCTTGTTTAAGAGTATGTTGTTTACTTTGCAGTTTGTGGATTTTCCATATTTCCTTCTGTTACTGATGTCTAGTTTCATTCCATTACGGTCAGATAAGATACTTTGTATGATTGCAACTTTTAATAATTTATTGAGACTTGTTTTGTGGCTGAACATACGGTCCAGCTTGGAGAATGTTCCATATGCACTGAGAAGAATGTATATATGGTTGTGTTAAGTGGAACATTCTATATACGTCTATTAGGTCTAGTTGATTTATGGTATTATTCATGTCTTATATTTCCTTGTGTATCTTTTATATGGCTGTGCTTTCCATTGTTAGGTGGGATGTTGACATCTCCAGCTATTTCCCACTTTAGTTTTGTCAGTTTTTGATTCATATATTTTATTATATGTCATTAGGTGCATATATGTTTATAACCATTTATATATTCTTGACCCTTTTTTCACTATACAATGTCCTTCTTTGTCTCTTGTAACATTTTTTGTCTTAAAGTCTATTTGTCTGATATTAGTATAGCCACTCCAGCTCTCTTTTGGTTACTGCTTGCATGGAATATCTTTGTGTACTTTCATTTTCAACTTATTTGTGTTTTTGTTTCTGAAGTGCAACTCTTGTAGACAGCATTAAAACGAAATCCGTTCAGCCAATCTCTGCCTTTTAATTGGAGTGTTTAATACATTTACACTTAATTAATTACAGAGACAGAAGGACTTCTGCTATTTTTGTTTGTTTCTTATATCTTTTTTCTCTGCTCCTCCATTACTACCTTCTTTTGTGCTATATGTTTTCTCATGTGATATTTTGATTTCTTTATCATCTCTCATACATACACTACAATGTATCTTTTAGTTATTTTCTTAGTGGTTGCCCTCGGGATTACAATCAGCATCTTAATTTATAATCATGTAGTTTAATACCAACTTAATTTTAATATTATACAAAAACTTTTCTTCTGTATAGCTCTGAAGCCCCACCTCTATGTTATTGTCATGTTACATCTTCATAATCGTGTGCCTATCAAGATTTATGATTGTATCATGTATTTTTCTAATTGATTGATTTTTTAAAATGCTAAACCAATATTGTATTCTTAGAATAAATTTGGTCAATAATGGTGTGTTACTGTTTTATCTTTATAATGTATTACTAGTTCAATTTGCTAATATTTTGCTAAGGATTTCTTTGTGTTCATGAGGGATATTGGTTTATAAGTGTGTGTGTGTGTGTGTGTGTGTGTGATGTCTGTGTCAAGTTTTAGCATCAGTAATGTTGACCTTATGAGTTGGAAATTGTTCTTTTTTCCTCTGTTTTATTTTGTGTGTGTGTGTGTTAAATTGATGTTATTTCTTAAATGTTTGATAGAACTCATCAGTGAAGTCATCTGGACCTAGACTGTTTTGTGGGAAGCTTTTCTATTATTTATTCACTTAAAAAATAGATATAGGATTATTCAGATGTTGTTTCATTTCAATTTTGGCATGTTGGATTTTTTTCAAGGAGGGTGTCTGATGCATCTACATTGTCAAATATGTTAGCATAAAGTTGTTCATATTCTCCTAATAACCTTCTAATGTCTGTGGCAATGTAATTAAAAAAATGCTTATATTAGATTGTAGCAAACATTTTATAGTGCTTATTACATACATTTCACTTTACAAATAATGCTCTTTTAATTCCCACAGTAATTGGTGAGGTAGATAATATTATCTCCATGTTCTAGATGAAAAAACAAACCAAAGTTAAACTAAGAGAGTTAAGGTGCCTTGCTCAAGATCACAGAACTGGTGTATTAAGGGCTTAAATTATAATCCAGGTGGTCTGGGTCCAGAGTCCTTTTTTCTTGACTCCTATTTACTTTGTATTTCTTAAATGACAGTTACCTGTTCTGTTCTTCTTATGGAATTTTGCTGTTTTCTCTCTGGTGCTCCCACCACCTTTATTCCGCTAGTGGAAATATTTGCTTCTGGTATTACTACTTAGAACTTGGAATTCCTTTCCCCATAAAAACATTACATGCGATGGCTACACATACTTGAAATATTATTTTTTTTTAAGGATTTATTTATTTATTAGAGAGGGAGAGGGAGGGAGCAAACGGGAGGGGGGAGGGGCAGAGGGAGAGAGAGAATCTCAAGCAGACTCCCTGCTGAGTGAAGAGCATGATGTAGATGCTTCTCCATCTCAGGCCCCGAGATCATGACCTGAGCCGAAATCAAGAGTTGGATGCTTAACTGACTGAGCTACCCAGGCGCCCCTTGAAATATTATTGTTAATACTTGTCTTCAGTCACATAATATGTCAAAAAGACTTCTGGGGCTTCCCTGGGAAGTTCACTACAATTTATAATGTGAAACATGGTTTCTCTGGGAAAATACTAGAAGATATTTATTTTAAATTCACTTAAAAGGTTAAACTTCAGTTATATGGAAATTTTACTTTTTGGAATCCCTTAGTGATTTGAATTTACTGAGGTGTTTCTAAATCATAATTTTCAGAAGACAAACAATAAGATTAATTTTTACACATATTTTATTTTGTTTTACTTTCATTAATTTGCTGATTAATGTCTTTCAGGGTTATTCAAATGCTCAGAAGAATATTCTTCTTCAGGTGGATCAGAACTGTGTTCGCAATTCTTATGATGTCTTCTCTTTGCTGCGGTAAGAAACTTCTTAGACCTCCTGCATTTTCTAAAGAATGTTCTTCATTTTGAGTTTGTGACATTTCTGTGTGAGGAGTCGTATGGGAGCTTTAGAAGCTGTTATTCAGGCTTAACATTTTTTAGTGAGAGCTTCATAAATTTTGTAGCTACAGTGATTTAAGTTTATCTCTTTCACAAAGCCGTTGGAACGCCATTTCCTTTCTCTGGATAGTGGGAGAGAATGACTGGAAGCCAGTGATCTTAAAACAGGGACATGAGCCGTTTCTGGTTTTCTGTACTATAAAGAGCAGCAACCAGAGGTACAAAATTTAGACTTATGAAAATCTTAACAACTACAGCATTACTAGAAAAGCCCTCCAATAGCCCCAGACATGGCTTAGAGTTTTGACCTGCTCTTCATCTAAAAGAATCATGTTTGGCAAGGCAAAGGAGCTTTGCATAAATCTCATGCCCAGAGGCTTAACTAACTGCCTTAACTCTATATTTTCATAATGTCTGGGCTTAATTTTGAAACATTTCTATATTTGTTTTTAATTTTCAATGTGGTAGATCATCAAGGACATTTTCTCAAGAGGCAGGCAACCAAAATAAATGCAGTTCAAAATAAAGGTAACAGTGACACTCAGCCTATGTTCACCCTACTCAGACAGATGGTTCATTGAAATTTGATTTTGGCAGTATTTTTCTAATGTTTACATAACACATCATAAATTTCAGACCATTAGACATCCTCAATATATCTACTGGAGGAAGAGTCCAGAAGGATGGTTGGACTCTTGTCCAATTGGATGATTGTTTATTTTATAAACATTATGAAATGGGCCTTTTCTTTGCAAATCTTGAATCTTATTATACATGATGATAAAGTTTGGTCACATGGCCTGTGTAAATTGCTCTTAAGAGACAATGATTTCAACTAAAGTAACCACAGACATTTGATGACTTTTGATTCTTATCTGAGAGGTACTTTCACTTTGACTTCTTAGGATATGTAAGAGAATGAACAGGATTTAGTAATTGGATGGTGGAGATAGAAAGCAGGAGGTGTCAGAATATATAACTTGTATTTTTTTGAGTCTATTCAGTTTGGGGCTACATTGAGTTTTAAGTATTGAAAAGAGCAATGTACAGAAATAGTTCGAAATGTGAGTAAGCCACTAATATTTCTTGACCTATTTTCCTCATGAAATGAGGGTATGGATTTTGCTATTTTAAAGATACTGTCCAAGTGTGAGATGGTGTGATCTTATTAGAGAAATCAGTGGAACCAAAAGAAAGAGAAATATGAAGTCAGTGAAAAGAGGAGGATTGGGGAAAGACAGCATCATAGAAACTAAGGGAGTAGAGATTCAAGCAGTGTTGAATGCTCTGTGACGAGACAGGAAAATATGAACTGAAGAAATGCTGTAGGATCTTGAGAAGCAATGTGGTACAATAGAGAATGCTTTGGTTAACTTGACCTTGACTTCAATTGTCCCTGGTTTATCCAAATTCATTTAACTTCTCTGATTCTTCTAAAAGGTAGAGGCAGTAATATTATAAATTTGTGTAGCTTACAAGCATTTCCATATTTATTATCTTACACTCTGAAGTTTTTTGTATTCAGACATCAGGGATCAGCCCTTGTCTTCAGTGTAGAAGCTGAGGCCAAGAGGCATTACAGGATTTATCTGAGAGCACACAGCAAGTAAGAGCCAGACTGGAGGTGGGTGTGAAGTTTTACTGCAAGCAAGTTTTGCAGATCCTTTTCAGAGTCTCACTTACCTTCCTAGATTGGTGGTTATAAGGTGGTTATAAGGTGCGCATAGCATAATGACAGAGAAAATTTTCTGAAAATCACAGAGCCCTCCATAAATTCAAAGTTATTGGGGGAATTTGGTAGTTAGTGCTCAATTATTTAACATTGATTCTTGCAATGATATGTCTCTTGGGGGTCTCATTTCTAGGATGCTTTCCAGATTCCTCACGTGTGTTAGCAGTCTGATTTGCCTTATTAACAGTGGCCTTGTCATTAGCATTGTGTAAATCATTATAGCTGGTAACATAGACATACTCTTTTGAACCAGATCAAGTGTCCATTTATCAACCAAATTACCTGAGCCCAGAGAGTTACTCTGGAACTAGAAACTTGACATTGTAGTAATCAACATTAATGAGTAAAATGGAACTTTCTGTGATAATTCTGTTAGACATCAGTAAGGAGTAACCACCATCTATCTGTTTGCTATATCAGAAGCTCTTCTTTTCTCATAGTTCTTGGCATGATTTATGCTTGTTGGGAAACGTAATTTTGTGCTGATCAATTTTGTTTAGTTTCCCTTCTTTAACTCAGGCAACATTGTACCTGAATGGGAGTAATTTTTAAAAATATACCTTTTCCCTTGATCCTTTTTTGGTGTGTGAAATTGTTACTTCTTGATCTGTAATTTTATGTGAAAACATAGAGTCTGAATTCTTTAATATCACTTAACTTCACAAAATTCTGTGCCATTTGGAATCAGGACTAGAACCCAGGTCTCTTGATTCTGTTTTTTGAGAGTATATTCTAGTTAATAACTTTCACTGTGTATTTCCTTCCACTTCCTATAATGTGAATGTTACAGAAAAATAGGAAATCTTGACTAGGCAGGGATTTTGCAACGCCTACGACCAGAGCATTAGAACCCCTTCAGGTGGATGCGTTGTACCATTTGTAAGAAAACAGTAACCTGAGGTTTTATTCAGATTTTTCTGCCAGTAGTTAAGAATGTAGGCTGATTTCAATGTTACCAAAGTAATAGCAGCTCTTTCCAAAGTTACATTCAGTGTGTGTGGTAGTAATTACATTTTGCTTCTTTAAGCCTTGGAAATTCCTGGATTAAGGGTTAGTTTTCATGTAAGTAGACATTTAATTAGGAGCCACTTTACTCCTTACATTTGACTCATTACCCTTAAATTAGGATGTTCACCACAAGGTGTCAATGTTGCTCTTTAACTGGCACCTGAAATTTCATTTATTTTATGGTTTTAAAGTGAGAAAAGTTGGATTATAAATTACAAGTGAGCATTTATTTTTAGAAGTTAACTTTTTTTCCTCTTTTTTTTTTTTTTTTAAAGATTTTATTTATTTATTTGACAGAGAGAGACACAGTGAGAGAGGGAACACAAGCAGGGGGAGTGGGAGAGGGAGAAGCAGGCTTCCCGCCGAGCAGGGAGCCCGATGTGGGGCTCAATCCCAGGACCCTGGGATCATGACCTGAGCCGAAGGCAGGCGCTTAACGACTGAGCCACCCAGGCGCCCCTTTTTTTCCTCTTTTATTCCTTCTAGGTTAAGGAGTTTCTAGGCTTATTAGATAACTTTCTCCTTTAGGTTCTGATGTTTTTTTTTTTTAATCCTCTTGGTGGTACAGAGTTATTGAAAGATGAGAGAGAGAACGAGTGACATGGTCGGGTGTGCAATTTAGATTTCTAACTGTGGGGACGGCATGGAATCAGTGGGATGGGGCTGGAAGCAGGAGACATCTATAATCCTATCTGTTCTCTGAGATTGAAAGATTACTTTTTATTTTTATTTTATTTTATTTTTAAGATTTTATTTATTTGAGAGAGAAAGAATGAGAGAGAGAGCATGAGAGGGGTGAGGGTCAGAGGGAGAAGCAGACTCCCCGCTGAGCAGGGAGCCCGATGTGGGACTCGATCCCGGGACTCCAGGACCATGACCTGAGCCGAAGGCAGTCGCTTAACCAACTGAGCCACCCAGGCTCCCTGAAAGATTACTTTTGATTTTTAAAAAGTCATTTTTCCCCCTTTCATACTTCTTCAAATAGGTAGCTCTACTGTAGTGAGATAAGTGAGAATAATTAATAATTCAGGTTTTCTTCTAGTACAGTTTTTATTGCCCCTTTCCCCTTCTTGACATGTCCTATTTTTGCCAGTTGGAGAAATGGAAGTATGGTGGATAATCATGGGTCCTCCACCTAAGTTCCAGTCCTAACACTGTCATATGCCCATAACTGGATGTAAGACTTTGGGCAAATTACTTTGGTATGCCTCAAACTACTTTTGTATAATGGCAGTAATATTTATTTCATAGGGATATTCTGAGAATTAAATAAGATAAAATACTTGAAAGATCCTAAGTCAGCTACTGGCATATTAGTAGACATTCAATACATAATAGTTTTCATTTTCTCCTTTCCTTCCCCCATCTTAGAATTAGCTTTCTCCTCTATGCCAGTGTTTCTTTATGTTAGCATTAGTTTTTTCAATTTTCAGCTTAATTTCTCTTTCTTTTCTTGCCATTCTAATGTCTACCACCTCTGCTTTTAGCCTTACTTTTATTAATCCTGAACAATCACGATAAAATTATTTAATAGGTGTATGTCTTTTCTCCTTAATGACATTGAAAACTTCTTGAAGGAAGGGATTATTTCATATGACTGTGTTTTTTCCTCTCTATCTTCCTGACAATTGATGGTTATATTGGAGTTCCTGTGGATGCTGTTGTGATCCTGGAGCCCCAGGTCCTATGGACTAGATCCTACAACCCTTCTGTTTTATTCTTTCTCCCTGAGTACTCTCTTCCATTACCACAGCTTCACCCAACACAGCCACATGTTAGTAACTCTCAGATCTATACCTCTAGTTACTTCCTTTCTTTTGGATTTCTGATCTGGATTTTCCAGTGACCTTTAGACATTTATACTTTCGTATTCTGTAGGAATCTCAGCCCTAACATGTCCAGAGTTACATTCATTGGCATTATTCTCCTCTTCCTTTTTTCCCCCTGTATGTCTCATGTCCTGTATATGATCTTCTCAGGCACTCAAGTGAACATACCATTCTTTGTTCTCATCCCTATTTTCTGGGACTATTTCTTGACCTCCTAACTAGTCTCCATACTAGTTTTTCCTTCATGCAGCTGATAGCTATTATTTATTGAGCAATTACTTTGTGCCAGGAACTTTTCTTACTGCTTTACATTAATTCTTTTAATTTTCACAGCAACCTTCTGTGGTG